TACTAAATCAGAAACATATCTGCATTTAATTTCTGGTCAGAGTCAAGGGACGTTGCATTTATGGGTATTTCTGATAAGAAGCAGGGTTACAATGTATTATTTTGTGAATGCGTACAAATGTATACACTAATCTTTCCAGTCCTTTTTCATTATTTGTAATAAATGTTATATCTTACAAAAAAAAATCATTATTTGGTTACCCTGGGCCTTTAACAGTGCTTTGCAGTTTTTGAAAGATTTACCATTCCCATTTTACACAAATTCTGTATTTGTTTCAATAAAGTCCTGCCAGTTAAAACCAGAACACAGAAACCCAAAGATTGATTTTCCAACAACAAAATAATGATTTAAATTAGTTAAATTAACTTGGTTCTTTGACTATTTGTAGAAACAAAAATGACTTCAAAGTATCAGCTAATTTTAGGCATCTCTTTTACTGTAATTTTGTGATGCATATTACAAATCATTTTCAATATGTATCTTTAGATTTCTCTGTTTTACACATATGAATACAACCCCCAAATATTATGCAATTCATGCAATACCAGTGAAATCTCAGATTGTTGCTAAACTGGTTCTGTCTAGCATGCTGGGAATTTTGAAATAACATTTATTTCAGAGAAGAAACCTTAAACACCTTTAATTTTTGTAAGTACCTACTTCCCACCTGCTGAGAATTGTGTTCTCTCAGTGCTGTAGAGCAATGGCAAATCTCCTGTTTGTACTTATCATATAAATCTGCACACACATACACACACTGCAATACCAGGATACCCTTATATTTTTTGTATTTCTTTTCCTAAGCAAAACATAATTTGGTTTATTTTGCCCAATAAAGAATGTATGCCATACATTCCTAATATTCAGCAACTACTGGGAGTACGTTTAATAAACATCATTACAATAAAGTCAATGGTAATATTAGATGTAGAGTAAAGTAAGGTTTTTCCTATTTTTAGGGTGAGCATGGCATTAGGGGAGATCCAGGAGAGAAGGTAATTATCTTTATATTATTACTTTATGTAATTTTTTATATGGTTAGCACTAGCCACTACCAGTTGATACTCTCAGATGCACAAATGCTGCTATTTGTCCTGCACTAAATACTGTAACAATTTATTATGTGTAACATTTGTAAGCAAAATACAGATCACTATTTAGCAACAAGGGTTTATCACACAATCACATTCACATGCAGTGTATATACTAAGACAAATTTAAATAAAATAGAGTCCCTTTTTAGGTAAAATAAATTTTCAGCAAATCAACTTTTAACATTTTATCTTTATAAATACATGGAAGTCAGTTTTGATGGCTTTTTTTATTTGCGGTGTCATAGTTGCACAAAGGCATTTTCATACAGATTGGTAGATTCTCACTTTGGTGTGTATCTGCATGAAAGATAGTGAAATCACTAAATTTTCTGTATAGGTTGTGAGAGCAAAAAAGCTCACATTGTATTATGTTAAAACGTTTATTACTAGTCCTTAGATTTGCATTAAAGTACTAG